GACTCGTTCTCTCGTCTTTTGATACACAAACTATGACGGAGATCGATCGTTCACGCGCGTTCGCCAAAGACGTTAAGCGTATCGTCGTCAAGGTTTGAAATTCTCTCTGATTGTCTTCAAAAACATTTCTGGGTTTGACTTTTTTTTTTAATCCATTTCTGGGTTTGATTGATGAAGTCTGTGTTGTTGGTTGATGTCAATTGGTATTTGTATTAATCCGTACTTGTTTAATGATTTGCTTCATTAGTTTTGAACTTTTTTTTTTTTTTTTTGGCGGCGGAGAAATCTGTGGAAATGTTGAGAAAAAACAATGACAATCTTGTTTCTTTCAATTCTAAATCTTCGATTTCTCTTGTTAATTGATTATCTGAATTCGATTGTTTATAGGTTGGGACTGCAGTTGTTACTGGGAAAGGTGGAAGATTGGCTCTTGGACGTTTAGGAGCAATCTGTGAACAGGTATTTTGATATCAATGAACACTCAATATACGTTCTTTGATAAGCTCTGCTTTGAAACAGAATCGGAAAAAATGGTTTTTTGTCTCTTTTGATTCTAAATAAATGTAATGGCAGCTTGCGGAATTAAACTCGGATGGATTTGAGGTCATTTTGGTGTCATCTGGTGCCGTTGGTCTCGGTCGACAGAGGCTTCGATATAGACAACTAGTCAACAGCAGGTTATGTGATGGAAACAGTTTTAAATATTTGTTTATAGTGTTCCAGAGGCTTAGATTGTGTGGGAATAACTGTTGTATATGGTTTTTTGTCCTGTGCTGATTCTTTCTTCTCTCGGGATTTCAGTTTTGCAGACTTACAGAAGCCACAAATGGAACTTGACGGGAAGGCTTGTGCTGGTGTTGGACAGAGTAGCCTCATGGCTTACTATGAGACTATGTTTGACCAGGTGATGCTACTTTTTTATTTTTTGGCTGTTTCTTGATTATTGGCAAGCATTTCAAGTATTGATGTGTTGTTTTCTTCATTCTTTTTGTGTGGTAGTTGGATGTGACGGTTGCTCAAATGCTTGTGACTGATAGCAGTTTTAGAGATAAAGATTTCAGGAAGCAACTTAGTGAAACAGTCAAAGCGATGCTGAGGATGAGGGTTATTCCTGTTTTCAATGAAAATGATGCTATAAGCACTCGCAGAGCCCCCTATAAGGTTTGTTGATTGCCTTTATTTTGCTCTTTGACATGGAGTTTTACTACCTTTGGAGATGTGCGGAATATATAAGCGATACTTATTCACTGTATATGATGAAACTTGAATCGAGTAATTTGCTTGTTCCTCTGAATCTTTTAGTCTAACCTACAGCTTCACCGTACTTCAACCTATACAGGATTCTACTGGTATATTTTGGGATAATGACAGCTTAGCTGCTCTTCTGTCGCTAGAGCTGAAAGCTGATCTTTTGATTCTTCTAAGTGATGTTGAGGGTCTTTACACTGGCCCTCCAAGTGATTCTACCTCAAAGTTAATCCACACATTCATTAAAGAAAAACACCAGGACGAGATTACTTTTGGCGAAAAGTCCAAATTAGGACGAGGGGGTATGACTGCAAAAGTTAAAGCTGCTGTTAATGCAGCTTATGGTGGCGTTCCTGTTATCATAACCAGGTAAAAGGCCCCTCCGTACTCATAAACTGTAATTATACTGCATCGCTCTAGGCTTGCAAAGTTTGTTAGTCTTCCACTTTGAAATAGAGAAAAAAATAAATTCCTCTGCTACAATATATGGGAACTGAATATAAGAGATACTGTAAGTTCAAGATTGTAGCACTCTTGAAGTTCTTTCCTCTACCACATATTTTCTCTCTCTCCTGAATATTAGTATCTTGTCTTCCCTTGAATATCAGAATATAGAAGGTACTGAACAATAAGCTAAAAACATATAATGTTGGATGGACGAGTGATATTTTTCTTGCTATTTTTATGAAGTGGGTATGCAGCTGAGAATATAAGTAAAGTCCTTAGAGGACTGCGTGTTGGTACCCTGTTCCATCAAGATGCTCATTTGTGGGCGCCGGTCGTAGATACCACTTCTCGTGACATGGCAGTTGCTGCAAGGGAAAGCTCGAGAAAGCTTCAGGTAATGTTAGGGCTTCGATGCAAGTGTACTCAGATTGTTTATTCAGAAATAATTTCTTACCAGTGTACTCAACCTGTTTGCAATTTGCTTTCAGGCCTTATCTTCAGAAGATAGGAAACAAATTCTACTCGACATTGCCAATGCCCTTGAAGCAAATGAGAAAACAATTAAAGCTGAGAATGATTTGGATGTCGCTGCAGCACAAGAAGCTGGATATGAAGAGTCTTTGGTAGCTCGCTTAGTTATGAAGCCTGGGAAGGTAACACAGTATTCACGGTGTGATTAAATCTATTGTACCAATTCTTTTGTCTTCATATGGTGTATTTATTTCTCTTTTTGCACTGTTTTGTGCTTGATAGATCTCAAGCCTTGCGGCTTCCGTACGCCAGCTAGCTGAAATGGAAGATCCAATAGGCCGTGTATTAAAGAAAACTCAGGTAAATCTGAGGACAATACATTTCATGTACCATCAATTTCCAAACTAGATTTTAAATACAGGGGAGATATCCTCACATGATGTAAAACTTCCTCCTCTTAACGTGACATTTTTTTGTCTAATTCATATTATCCTTGACAATTTCTAATGTAACAGGTTGCAGATGATCTTATTTTAGAGAAGACCTCATCACCAATAGGTGTTCTTCTGATTGTTTTTGAATCCCGGCCTGATGCACTTGTTCAAGTATGTCATGACTCAAGAGTCATTGTCCTTTATAGTCTTAGATGTGAATTCTGATCGCTGAACACCATGCCTTATCAATAAATAAAACAGATAGCTTCGCTTGCAATCCGGAGTGGAAATGGTCTTCTCCTGAAGGGTGGAAAGGAGGCTCGTCGATCAAATGCTATCTTACACAAGGTACATCGACCTCATTATTCATAGTCATTTGCTTGCTTCCCAAAAATTTGTATGGCTAATCTTTGAAATACATGGGAAAATTAAAGGTGATCACTGATGCAATTCCGAAGACTGTTGGAGGTAAACTAATAGGACTTGTGACTTCGAGAGAGGAGATTCCTGATTTGCTCAAGGTAAGAGATATATATGAATGGAAAGTCACCAGAAGTGATTAGCTTTCCTTACTTAAACTGGAACCCACCATTTGCATTTTTGCTACAGCTTGATGACGTTATTGATCTTGTAATCCCAAGAGGCAGCAACAAGCTTGTTTCTCAGATAAAAAACTCGACGAAAATCCCAGTGCTAGGCCATGCTGGTATGTTTATAAGTTCAGTTTCATTAAATTCTTAAGCTGGATTGGCCTACAGAGAGAACAATCTTATTTTTTGGGTGTTTTCAGATGGAATCTGTCATGTATATGTTGATAAGTCTTGTAAACTGGACATGGCAAAGCGCATCGTTTCCGACGCAAAGTTGGACTATCCAGCAGCTTGTAATGCGATGGTTAGGGATTCTTGTCTCTTTCACTACTGTTCACTTATGCGAAGTGATTTCGTTTTTGGTTCCCACTTAGTACTGTTTTTGTCTCACTTCATCTTCTCTTTTTATTTGGTCCTAATAGGAAACCCTTCTTGTACATAAAGATTTGGAGCAGAATGGTTTTCTCAGTGATCTTATTTATGTTCTGCAAACCAAAGGTAGCGTGAGAAAATAATGTGTTTTTATTAGATCTATCTTTCAATCTGGATTTCATTACAACTGTTGTTTTATAGTTAATACTTAATATTAAACTAGAGTATTTCAAACCATAAGCACTGAAATTAAGATAGTATTTAGTTTGTTGACCATTTTCAAAGAGACTTGTCTGAAGTGTACGTGTCAAATTGCAGGCGTCACTTTGTATGGTGGGCCAAGAGCAAGTGCAAAACTGAATATTCCAGAAACAAAATCATTTCACCACGAGTACAGTTCCAAGGCCTGCACCGTTGAAATTGTAGAAGACGTATATGGTGCTATAGATCATATTCACCAACATGGAAGGTAAAATTATTGCTGATTTCAACTAATAAGAACATGACAAAGTTTTCAAAGGGCCTACCGCTCTGTATTCTTTGCATGTGCTGAAAGTGTGGTCACTCCTTTGTCTTATCTTATGAGAGCAGTGCACACACTGATTGCATAGTGACAGAAGATAGTGAAGTGGCAGAGATATTCCTCCGCCAAGTGGACAGGTAATAACTCATGTACTAAAGCATTTTCTGTTTTTGATTTTCCAGTCCATAGAATGTTTGAATGTTTAACATTTGCGTGCTCTCAACAGTGCTGCTGTTTTCCACAATGCAAGCACAAGATTCTCTGACGGTTTTCGATTCGGACTTGGTGCTGAGGTAGGGAAAAGAGAGAGAGAGAGAGACCAATAATATCAACCCACATATATAAACCAAATAAACAGAGAAGTGTCAATGAATGAATGGCCATTGTGATTTGTCTTATGTATAGGTGGGAATAAGCACAAGCAGGATTCATGCCCGTGGTCCAGTCGGAGTTGAAGGATTATTGACAACGAGATGGTACTACAAATTGAGTTTTTTTTCTTCCTCTTCCATAGTTCATTGATTTGTCAAAAGCTGTGTAGTTTAAATGGTTGTGTGATGAATGACAGGATAATGAGAGGAAAAGGACAAGTTGTGGATGGAGACAATGGAATCGTTTACACCCATAAGGATCTTCCTGTCTTACAAAGGACAGAGGCTGTTGAGAATGGAATTTAGTTCTCTCTTTCTCTGCTAATGTCATATTATGTTTTACAATTGTGATTGAAGTTTTTCCCCCTTTTACGTAGGATTTAGTGTTCCTTGAGGTTTGTACCATCATAAGAAGACCCCTTTACTCAAGTGGTCTTTGATAATAGTGAAATGTTTAGCAGCTTCTCTTCATGTCAAAAAAACTCCTTATAAGTCCACAACCTTTGATTTACCACAACTATTTGTATCATTTCTCCATGCAGAATAAGTTATATTTTTTCTAATTTTTAGATAACACAGATTCAAATTCGAATTTCACATTCAAAACCCCATTGTGAACTCAAAAGTCATTACAAATGAAATCTGCAACCATAAAACAATCTAGCTCTTACTCTACTTAAGTGTGTCTTCTTCATTCTTGGACAAAGGTTTTGAGCTTCTTCAACCATAGTAAATACTCTCTGCTATCTTTCTTCATCATATACTCATACAAGAAATCCGTTGCGCTTGCTTTGATTCCTCTCGTCTCTAGAAACTTGTGGAACGACTTGCGCATATTCTCATCCAACTCCCTGCAAAGCAAAAGAAAGAAACAACATTTGAGTTTTTTTTTTTTCTTGGGTTATCATATTAAAACAGATGGGATATATGTTGCTTACTGAAAATCTGGCCCATCATAAGTCAACTGTTCTTGAGAAGAATCCTCTGGACGGTTCACAGACAATCCATCAATGACAATCTCATCAGGGAAAGCAGTGCAGCTAAACTCTAGGCTGAGTCCACTCTTCTTAGTCACAGTGACAACAAGTGGAATGCTTGATTCATTCGCTTTCTCAAGACGACCATCACCATCTTCATCGTCATCCACATCATCTTCATTTTCATCCATGGCAAGACCAGGCATGCTTACTTCTACTTTAATCTGTTCCCCATTGTATTCTCTAGTCAATTTCACAGTCCTGTGTCCAGGATTATCTTCGATTTTGAAAGGAAAGTCACTAGAGTCTATGGTCTCTTCATCCTGAAAAATAAAACCAGAGTCATGTAGGCTTTTCATATGCTTATAACCAGGAAGTCAAAACAGGTTCATGCAATTTATGTGAGCATAGACCAAAATATACCCCAGAAACCAACCAATGCTTTTATTTGCCTTAACCAATGCTTGAGAATGATCAAATTTCGAAAATGTATGGACTTTACTCAACAATTTCTGAAAGAAATGCATTAATTAGCCCAAATGCAGTGCTAAGTCTCCAGTTAGATTCAACTATGAGTTCCATTGAAGCTTATGGCTTCTACAGAGTCAGTCCAATTTTACATACTGCTACTACAATTCTCTATCAGAAATCCCACAGATTCGTTTTTTTTTTTCCAGGAATCAAGTGATGAAGACAAGGTATTACCGCATCGTGATCATCGGCATCAAAAGAATCGTTGATCTCAGAGTCAATCACTTGTAGAAGCTTCTGATCGGACTTTAACGGCTCAGTGGCCGTCGAATAAGGAAAGCCGCGGGAGACGAAAGGACGAAGCAGAGATGTCTTGGGAACAAGAGACGAGCGATTAACGGTGACGGAGACGGCCTGAGATCGAGCCACACGACCACACACGGAAGCTAAAGTAGAAGCTGATCTGCGAATGCACAAAGCGAAACCCATGGCGGTTTCAAGAAAATGGATTCTCTCAGTCTCTGGGTTTTGGCCTTTCCTTAGGGTTTTAAGTGAACGAAGAAGATAAACTATACTAACCAAACCGTATCGGTATTCAAACCAAACCGGTCAATTTATAATTTTTCATTTCTCAATTCTCTCATACAAAATTGTACTAATTTCTGGCATATCTTTTAAAAGTAGCTTTCACATATCAAAAACTCAGAATTTACATAAGTCACCATAACTTTCAAAAACTGTATGATAAAGAGACTGATATGTTTTTTGGATTTCACTAATTTGGTTTAACAATCTGAACCAGAATCTATGTGACCCGGATCAACAAGACAACCATTATGAACACACAGATCATGGCAAAGATCAATAGCCACTGGAAGCAACTTGTCTTCGAGCTTTGTGAATATATCTTCGTCGCTCTTGTTGTCGCATGTCCTGTGCTCGCTAAGCTTTGCTCAATGGCCTCCTCGGTAGAGTCAAGTATCTTTTGTTAATGAATCCACAACAAAAGAAGAAAGAATAATGTTAGGACCAATGAAGCCATCAGTTAAAAGAATATATGAAGCCAAATATAGATTCTTCTCTTGTCCCATAGTTGTTGATAATAGTAAGAATAATGGGTTTTGTGAGGATTGGCTTAGCATCTCATAATGCTTAGCATCTCACCTTTTCAGTATTTTGCACGGATTGGCTTATCGCTTGACTTCTCTCCTTGAGTTGTCTTGCAAGTACCACCATTTCATCGGTTAGATCCTCTTGAAGCTTTCTGTCATCAATATGAATCAACCATGCGCCATGAAGTGGCAAATTCAACTTAAATTCATATGAATAAAGCATTACTCATCACAGTAGCTTTTGTTTTATCAATGAAAGTGCATAGATAGATCAAATGAGCTCCTAGTTTTTCTAGGTGATTAATGGAAACTACCTGTGCTTGTCAATGTGCGCTTGAGCTGCGGTGTCTAGTTTTATTGGTTTTGATGAATCAGCATCAGCAGCATCAAAGCTTTGCTCCTTGGAACTTGCAGGGCTACCTCAATCAAGGAAGCTGATAAGTAAGTAATAAAGAAAAGAATTTACAAACTGAGAAGGATGTGAATCTAGTATTCCACTTACACGATTCTTCTTCTCAGCTGTGGAGAAGTGGGGCTTCGAGGCTCATCTTCTATTTTTGGTGAGCTTCCACTAGTCGAATCTTTTGCAAAGGGTTCATCAGATATCTCTGTGTCAGGCTGTAAAATTTTGCCGAAAAATCAATAATTTCGTATTAGTTACAGAAGTAAAACTTGACATTCTTGCAGCTAAACAACGGTTCTACGCCGCAGGAAGAAACCAAACTGTGCGTTCCTGAAACTAACCCAAGGAGAAACAATTCCTCAGACCACCAAATGCATCCAGTAAAAATTAGCAAGAGCCTAAATGTATTCCTAACACGTTACTGCTAATGTCCAATTGAAAAAAAAGAGTCCCTTTCTAGTTCAGGTCGACTTACCTCTTGAGAAGCGATCTTCGAAGCAACAGCTTCAATCTTCTCATAGTACTCATTATACTTAGCCTTTGTAACTCTGGACAACGGAGAAAGTAAGCACATTCTCTCATAATGGTTGCAAGGGTATTTTGAAAGAGCATCTAATAGCTTAAGTCATTTCACTTTTGGAACAAGTATAATACGAAGCAATCCAATTCAAATCTCTAACCCTTGATGCTAGAAAGAGACACCAAAAGCAGGAATCTTTTTAATGGAAATGGTGAATCAATAAGAGAGTGAGTAAGTAAACCTGGGAAGGCCTTGAGGGGTCTTCTCTTCCGAGAGTTGTTCTAATTGTTCCCTCAATGTAGCAACATACTGCAGATTATTTGTTTCATACATCAACATATATCAACATAAGCACGAAACTAATAGTTTTACACATAATGAAGATCTAAAGAACGTACATGCATAAGCTTCGACTGATTTTGCTGGTTAGGTGCAGCAGCAAGCAATCTCCGCAAATTGATCTCTGTTTTGCTTATTCCCATCATCCGTGAATCTGAAAACTAGAGAATCAAACATTCAGATCAAATCACAGAGACTAGTAACAGATCTAATTCACGATTTTGAATCCAATCGAATATCTGATCTCACGAAATTGAGCGACACTAGATTCAGTGAAACGAATCAGACCTTGTTTAGATTGGAGAGGAGAGGAAACAAAATCAAATTCCTTCACTTTCTCACGATATCTCTAACACCTTTTGTCGTCCACCGTTGTCAGGAGAAGCCGGCGTAAAAATCTTCACCGGAAAATTATTCGTTTTTTTCTCGAGAAATTTCGAGTACAAAAAAAAATAAAATTTATATTCGGTTATTGGCTTTGGTTTCGTTTGATGAAGTAAACCGATGGTTTTATAATTCCTAATTAACAACCGCATTCCGGAGACCGCATGTAGATCCATCATTGTATAATAGTAATGATCTAAGGAAGAAAAATACTCACGAAGTATAATGGAATACATGTCAAATTTAAAAATATACAACCAACTACACGAACTAAATATATTGCATATCTACGTATACCAACTATATGATGACATGTGGTCAATAACATCACAAACATTTATTCCGTCACACCAATCAACAAAATCCGGCGTTGACCATTGTTGACCGGCATTGACCAACAAAAATATTCAAAAAAATTTTATTTATTTATTGCATAGTAAAAAAATATTAAGTTTTTTTTGCTAAAATCAAAATCATAATACATAGATAAAAATATATAGAAAAATTTACATACTCTTTAGTCTAACTTTAATATATTATTAAATATACATACTAATTATAATAATCAATTTATTAACTATATATACAAAATTTATTTAAGTTGAATATAGAATGTGTTTTTCTCTTTAATTATACAATACCATAAAAGATTCAATAGAATAATTTTTTGTTTTTGTTTTTAATATTAAAATAAAAATCTATTTTTTAATATTTTTGTTGGTCAACGATAGTCAACGCCGGATTTCGATGATTAGTATACCAGAATAAGATGTTCGTGATGTTGACCACATGTCGTCATATAGTTGGTGTATGTAGGCATGCAATACATCTAGTTCGTGTAGTTGGTTGTAAATTTCTAAACTTGGCATGTGTAGCCATGTATTCCGTTATACTTGGTGTAGCTGAATATCTTTTTTCCTAATCTAAATATGAAAATCATCACATTTAGAGGCAAGCAAGTACTGATTTGAATCATTGGTTAAAGACTCCTAGAATACAATGAAATTTATACTTTATTACTTAGCTCGAAATCGTTTTGATATACATAGCAAAATGAATACGGACAAATGCAACAAATGGTCATCACAATCTGGTTTCATATAATGTTTGATGTGATCTCTTTGTTCGGCAGTACAACTCTTCCATTACAATAAATCTCATCTCACTAGTGAACATCTTTCCCAAGTATCAACACGTTCTTGACTCGAGCCCATTGCGTTGAGTACTTGACCCAATGATACTAAGTAGAGTCTTAGCCTTGTGATGTCGCGTGGTTGCCCAATGTTCATCCAGAATTTCGGAATCTCTTTCGCTATTGAAGTCGGTCTTAACTTAGTTCGATCAAAAACTAGCTAAAAGATTTAGTAGATAAATCCCAGCATTAATCTTATTGTTGTTACCCGGCTACGAATAGTATCTGCTTTTTCAACAAGTCTTTCCACTTTCCCTCTACTTTCTTCCATAATTACAACTTCAAATATAGATGGCTCATCCATTATTTTAATCAAAACGATTCCTAATACTCCTTCCGTTTTACAAAGAGTGTCATTTTGACACATTTCACACAAACTAAAAAAACAATAAATTATATATATATATATATATATTTATGTGTGTCCCTATTTAATAAGTGATTAATGATTTAAATTCAATGAAAAGTAATTTAGACAGAGCCATCAACCAGTTTGTCCCTCGCTAAAGCCAAAGGACCAGCTGTACCTAAAGGCTCTGTCTCTTGTGAGCAGGTGATCTTTATCCCGAGATTTGTCTCAACGTCCTTTGAGAATTTCGACATCACTAGCAGTTGCTGAATGATTTTTCAACTTTGAATTATTAAGATCCTCTATAAAAAAAAAAAACAGATATAGCTTTGCAAAAGGAAGTTTCAAAGACTTGAAGTCTTTTTACCTCTGGCTCATAGTTAATGGCCAAAACAACTTCATCGACTCCAATTGCCTTAAGTGCCTCTATCTGCAACAACATTATCCATCACTTAAAGAGCATAGCTCATAAAGAAAATACAAAAATAAGACCATGACACTAGCAAGAAGAACCACAATATTACAAGATCAAAGAACATATATATATAGTACCTGATGTAGGATCATATATAGGTTTATTAGCGAAATCAACAAGCGGCTTTGGGAAACTGAGAGTCAATGGTCTCAAGCGAGTGCCAAAACCTCCAACTAGAATAAGAGCTTTCATCTTGATGCACCACAAACTTCTTTTTCCTGTAGAGAACATATTGAAGATAAAAAGCAGAGAAAATCACAACAATATATATGCATCAATTGTGAGAACATTCTTAAGGGATATCCAAAAGTTAAAAGTTAAGAATTACAATTAAGAAAAAACATGTTGTTCTTCATAGTCAAGTCCAGATTAAGATAAAGCTCACAACTAAAGAAAATGAAAAATAAATATTCAGGAAAATAATAATCATCACCGACAAAGCTTTAAACGTATAACCCTAATCCACAACCCTAGAAACGGAGTCCCAAATTACGTACGCTCTAAGCCAAATCAAATCAATGCAGACAAATCGCACAAAACCACTCCAGAAATAAAATCAGATGAACCACAAGTCAAGGAAACGTAGTAGATTCGTGCTCGTTACCGTGAAAAGAAGAAAAAGTCATATTTACCTATTCGAGATCTCACAGGATCGTCGAAAAACTAAGCCCTGAGCTGAAGAGACGATTTTGGGAGGATTAAGGGATCTACTGATTAATTACCTGTGTGACTCTTAAATTTTTAGAAAACAGATGTTACAAAACTTTATAATTTCATTATACCAAAATTTAAAAGTAAAATATATTCTACTATTAGTGAAAATATTAATTATCTCATATTCATCTTTACAAGATTATTTAATTATTGTAATAAATGTTACAATAAATTTAAAATATAGAAACACAAATTGTATTAAGGCAAAAAAATGAAAATCTCATAAATAAATAGGCCCATCAGTTTCGTGTATATAGTTAAAAGTTGAAAGAAACCCTAAATGCTTTGACTGCTACGTATCGAAGGTTATTGAGATTTTGAGCCTGATTTGAATTTTTAGGTTGAAAGTTAAAAAAAAAGATTATGCGTCTGCAGAAGAAGACGCAAAGCAAGGAGGATGCGGAGGCTAAAACGTCGGTGTGGTGGGACATGGACCACTTCCCGGTTCCTAGTGGGTATGATGCTGGTCGGATCCGTGAGTGTATAGAACGGCGGTTGGGGAAGTTAGGTTACTGTGGTCCTGTCACCATCTCTGCCTGTGGCGACCTACGAAAAACCGAAGAGAACATACTGCGAGCACTCTCATCCACTGGAATCATTCTTAACCACTCCTATTGTGGTTAATCTTCTTCTTCTTATCTTTTTTTTTATACTACATATTATAATAAGGTTTTAGATTCAATCGGCTTGTGTTGCTTTCCTTTACTGAAACAGCTACCACACACATATATTCCGATTTGTTGGTATGGAAAATGCGTCATCCAGCTCCGGTTACAATAATGCTCATAACTTCTCCCGGAGACGCGTTTCCCCTGCTTAGGTTTAGTTCCCAAGCAATAGAAGGGGCCGGGGACCCAACGTTGTTGTGGATTATAAATGGCTTAAGCTAATTGAAGGTGTCTGTCTGTCTGTCTGACCTCTAGTTGCAGATTAATTAAGCTATACTTGTTTCTCAACTGGTTTACCGTCTCTTCCTAATTAACAGGTGCAAGGGATTCTCAGTCTTCCGATAATGAACGTGGGGAGATAAGAAGAAAACAGTTTACTCTGGAGAAGTGCAGTCAATCTGGTGAATCTAGTGAATATGCCTCGTTTTATTGCAAATTTTGCTATTCTCCTTCCCCAAGCCTTGAAAGTTTCAACATTCATCTCAAGGGTGAAAAACATGTAGAGAGAGTAAGAGCATCCTTAATTGCTTGCTTGTAGTATCAAATACATTTCTCATTGTCCAACTATATATATTTGAGTCATCAACAACGTGTTTTATTTTTGTCAAGCAAGAGCTTTTTGTAGTTGAGGCTGAAGCTCGTCAGCAGGCTTACCTTGATTCTCACGCCAATACTGCTACTACCATGGACAGGGTGATGGAGCCACCAAATGCATGTTTTTTTCTTTTTTTTTATAGATATGAATTTGAATTTCATTAAGTAATTAATGAAGAGAGTTGGTAGAAAAAAAAGCTTAACCAAGAATTTTTTCCTTGCCAGAAAAACAGAAAATCAAGCACAATAATACCTACTCCTCCACAGGCAAGTTTTAATATCTCAATTTTCTTAATGAAGTATGTTTGACTAGACTCCAAATGTGACACATAAAGCATGATGTTGATTTTACAGACTTTAGTTGAGGCTAATAAAGTGAAGAAGAAGTTGAAGAAGAAGAAGAAGAAGTTGATGAAGAAGTTGAAGATGAGCATCTAGAGGACTTAGAAGAAGAAGAAGAAGAAGAGTATACATGGGGCCTTGTTTTTCTCCAAGGAATTTCATTTCGTGAATGGTTTGTTTTATTTTGTAGCCGGAAATGTTGGGTTAACTTATGAAGAAATACCATTTTAGATTTGTACGTGTCATTCCGGCGTTGGCCATACTAGTGTTCTCCGTGGAATACCATTTTCCTTTGAAGGGATGTTGATTTTCTACTATTTTTGTACATGTATATATATAGTTGGATATATGCATGAATAAAAGCTAAACATTCATTTTTCTGATGAATGCAAATGAATTAACGGAAGATAACTTTATTTATTGATAGAATAAAAAGAACTTCACTTAAAACTACTAAACTAATGTTTCAATTCGGCTCCTTTGTTAAGCTAAAAAGCTAATCAGAACAAAAACAGAAGCTGGATAACTCAAGACTTACATTGCATAAAAAAATATGGCTGGTGTATGTACACTACAAAATCTCTACGTTTATATTTTTTTTTTGCGCTAATAACCCTGACAAAAATCCGTGTGGTCATGTATGTTTGTTCAGAGAGAGGACTGGCCTAGAAGTAGAGTATGCCACCAACCGCATGCAATGTTTTTGGGGACGCAATCTTTGATTCTGACTTCTGATGGAGCATTCCTGTCTATCACATCTCCTAAACCCAACTGTTTCAGACACACAACTATGTCGTTAGTAAAATTGCACATATAAATGGAACAAAACAGATTCAGAAAAGCTCGATATGGCCTGCTTTTTACCTGCCCGTATTTGTTCCATCCCCAGCAGAATACTTTCCCTTCATCTGCGATTACAGCGGTGTGACGAGCACCACAGGAGATGATTTTTACATTGACATTTTCCAAGTTTGGAGCCTCCAATAGTTTTGGAAGAGTCTGAAAGATTAAGTTGGGTTTCAAGTTCAATGGCAGGGCCTTCACAAACAATCAAATTAGCATTCACAAACAATATAGTTCATGATTTTACCTCAGCTTGATCACAACCAGTACCTAACTGTCCAAATTGGTTTCCACCAAACGAATACACATCCCCATCAGCTGAAGCACAGATCGTGTGCCATAGACCTGCAGCCACTTCTTCTATTCGGATTCCCAACAAAGACGACACACATGTAGGACTTAGTTCATCATCTGTACTTCCTTGGCCACACTTTAGAGAGGAACAAAAAAAAAAAGAATCAATTACTTCCACATACCCAACAAAAAGTGAAAATATTAGTTGCAGACTTATAACAGGAGAAAGTTTCGATTATCTTCTCCAGTCTTATCGTAAATGCAGACTGGCATTTTTCCCTAATTACATGTTTTATCAAACCTGAATCCTATATTGAATGTATGTTTTGGTATATATAAAATATCTTTTTGACAAGCTTAGTTCAACACAATGATGATTAGCTTTCCTCAACATGTGAGTTCAGCTGAAAGGAAGAATCTTAACTCAATCAAGTTTCAGGCATATGCTGTAATAAAGAAATCCAGGGATCAGTCGTGCTCACCTGTCCATAAAGCCCCCAACCAAACGTGAGGAGCGCTCCAGTATCTGTCCACAAAAAAACTCTTTCTTATTATATGCAAGGCAAGTATTGTTCTTCTGATATATCCTCAGATAACATATGTCAAATTGTCAATCTTTTCCAGGTTAAAGGGTCGAAAATTCTTGGGGTCTGTTCATAGTTATATAAAAGACTCCAAGAAGCCTAACAAGTGAACCTTAACAGAGGAATAGTGCAAAAATGAGCATATTTCAAAAACCTGATTACAGAGTATAAAGATTGATCTAAGGTTGAAATGCGTTGCTTTCAGTGATGCGGATTTAAACACTCATAAAATAGATGACTAGCCACAAAAGCAATATGGTGAGAACAGTACCTGTAATCACAGCACTGTGTCGCCCTCCACATGCAATTTTTTTTACATAACTTCCAAGAACTCGGGCGCATTGGACTTCTGAACTCATGTTTACACCAGAACTGGTGGCTTTTCCATAAGAAGAAGGCTCAATGCATGGAATAGGATGAGGAGAGGAGACTAGGCGCACACGGGAGCCTAATCCAAGCTGTCCTTCTCCTCCATAACCCCAACCCCACACCTGTCCAATATCTGGACTTCAGAAAAAGTTAGGATGCATCAGGTTATTATTATAGCACACCAGAAGCTCTTAAGCTTAATTGGATACCGCCACTGATTTTGTTCATAAGTGATAACCAATGTACCTCATTAGTGACATGGTGTGTGAAAAGCTGAAAATCTCACCTGATAATGCTAGAGTATGACGTCCACCAGCAGCAACACTGACAATCCTAACTCCAGGCGCCAACGATACAAGGCAAGGCAATGCCGAGAGGTCAATGTTGTCAGACTGTGATGCATTTTCAGCAGCTTGCTTTGACGGTGAAATCCGCCTTTTCTTTGTTGGTTCACCTCTAGCTTCAACTTGATAAGACGTTCCACCGCTAGATTTTCTCCCTTGACAAGTGGGACTCACTGCAAAATAGGCACCATCCTTCATATTCATCCTCGATGTAACAAAACATAAAATTTAGAGCTGTCACAATGAAAAGAAACAGGTAAAGAAGATTTCACCTTGCTCTGTCGAGAAGGAAATGTTTCTTTCACACGAATCTCCATCTGCTTGTCCAAAGACTCTCCCTGTGGGTATACATTCCCTCCATCCCCATGTATAAACTTCTTGATTCTCTGTATCCAATGAAACAAATAAGTTATGAACTTGAACACAAATGTCTCTGTAAGAGTAGTTCAGAACATGAAAATGTACCTGTTACTGCAACACAATGAGCCCATCCAGCCTCAGCTTTCTGTACACAAACCTCTGGAGGAAGAGGAAATGGCTCTGGAGTCTCCTACAAAGCAAGAAAATTGCAACTAAAACGCATAAAGTATAACTCAATTTTAGAAGAAAATCAAATCAAAGTTAGGAAATCTAACACCGTGCTTGCCGGATGTGACATAGCTTTGACCTAGATCATCTGTCGAACCCCATGTAATTAGCTTCCCCGACTCTGTTTAACAAAAAACCATCTCATTCAACTTCAAAATTGCTCGTGATTTCAAATTAAACCATTCAGAAATCAGATACATTTGTGAAATTGATTCGAGAATATGAACTTTCAATTGAAATCAGTCTAAACCTGCAGTAGCCATTGCGAAACCGCATCCACCACCGGAGACATCTTTCCAGGAACTTTCAACTGCCGGAGGTATCTTCACTTCGACCGGTGACATCAGAGGAGACCGTTGCTGCGAAGCTCCGGGTAAGTAACCCCACATGTACACCAATCTCTGACCAACTACTTCCTCCTCCTCTTGTGGTGCGGCGGCGCTAGTTCCACCAGTCTCCAAGTTTGCCTCGCCATTCATATTCAGTTTTAAAAAAGCTGACGAATGAAGAAATCAGAAAGAAACAAGGAATGAGGAAAATATCAGTTTCCCAGAGAAGTTGACGTGTATTTATGTATAGCAATTAGCAAGGACTGCGAGGTTGATGGGCTTTTTTTTTGTGTGAGAAAAAAGAAAAGAAAAAAAAAAAAAACTTTGTAGTTTTACAATCTTCGATTTTATCCCCACATTTAGATTTTTATCATAAAGGCCCCTCCATGGTAAAATCAATAATTTCCTAAAATCTTTTTTGCTTTTGGTGAAAATTTCCTAAATCAAAGCAGCTACTTCTTGGACATATACTTCTTGAATAAAATCAAAGCAGCTACTTCTTGGAATTTTTGCAATAGCTTTGCCGGAAAGAAGTTGAGCTTCTTCACTAGTCACTTGTGAATATTTCTTCTCAAATGTATAATTGGTTTCTGGTGATGCAAATCACTTTAGTAAATGAGACTTTTTTTTTGTTTTAAAGAAAACTGGTTTCATAATTAAACATGTTCCTAAAACAAATCACTAAAATTAAATTACTTTATATCAATATTCCTTTTGGAATATTCGAGTATTTCATAATCCTTCAGACTTATTTTTACAAGTTTAACATTAATTGTGTTTAGTAAAATTTTGTGTTTTAGACTTTTAGTTGGATTGTTCTCCAAACTCAACCTCTTAAAATTGTCTATTTTATGATTTCGCTCATTGCTGCATGAGGTCAACTCTGGAGGACAAATTGACTAAAACATACAAATTTAATTACTTATGTAATTAAGTTGATTTGAGAAATATAAAATTCCATGCATTTTCTCATTGATTATTTGTTTTCAATTACTTATTATAAAAATTCAAAAAT